GCATTTTTTCACACCTGCCTAAAACCTTTGCACAGTACTATATTTTAATACCACAAAAACCATACAAGTTACATAAAGAATTTGGCGTGTGTGTGTGAAATTCACTGTTAGGCTACATGAAAGCTGTACTCTCTTACAAATCAATGTTTTAGTTATAGCTGTATGCCTAAATTGTTTAGAAAAATACAAATTCCATCCATTTACTCTGACCTCATTTAATAATATTAAATGCTTCATGAACAAATTGAATTAAATAATATCTGAATGCTTTGTTTTCTCCCTGAGTATGCAGCTAATATGCCAGATCACAGAAGTGCTTCTTGAAACTAAAACTGCACACAAAATATGCAAAAATGTGGTTCAGGTGATGTCATAAAACTGATGTGTATCATAAAATAGCCTGGGTAAGATTTATGCAGGATGTATATTGTCTCTAAGTATACAAAAGTTGGACCCATCTGATTCATTATAGGCTTTCAATGTAATTGCAAAAACATAATAAAAAAAACTTTAAGCAAGGATTTCTCAAGAACAATTAGTGAGACTGATAAAGCTGTCAAGATACTTTTCAAGACAAACTGCCTTTTTTGTAGGTATAAGTGTATAATATTGTCCTTTCATGTTGTTTTGCAACTTTATAGCTTAGCTGGGTGTGCACGTTACCCCAGAACTAAGTCCAATCAATTTTAGGCAGATTAAAACATTTCCAGCTAACAGCAATACCTCACAGTGCTGTCGGGATGCCTGAATTTCACATTCATACTTGTTTTTCACGGATTCCAAGCAGAGTTCTCTGTAGATACCTACAAATAAACATGTACTTAAAATTAATTGGAGAGAAGCATCACAGAATGTATTCCCACCCATTCTGAAAATTCCCAACAGGCAATAGTGGGATTTACAAAAAGGATTTCTTTTATGTCTCCATTTGTGCAATGCCTAAATGAATTTTAATCCCAATCCACTGAGATATCTCCCCTGGCTTTACAAGGCTCAAGTGCTGCTTTGACAGTTATAGATCTTAACATTATCTGTACGAATATTTGCTATCATCATTTACAGAAGACTTACAGAATTTGAACACTGGTTGAATTAATATTAACCTAATATGAACTACCCCAGACTTGTCCAGTGAACATGAATTCAGACCAGCAAGATGGGCAGCCATTACGGTTTACAGTTCATTTACTCAATGAACAACCCTCCTTCCTCCGTTTTTTAAAATTCTAGATCAATTATATATTTGTTGCATGGCCTGAAAAAGTCAAAATCAAAAGGAAAGCACTGATGGTAAACAGACCAGAGAGTGTGAACTTCTTAATAAGTGGCATATAATGTAATCTTAATTCTAAAAAGCTAGCGTCAGAGAACCAACCCTCCTAACTTCCCTCCTTCCTTCAGATTATGATGATCACACTGATGATGTTACTATCTGCATGGGCCCACCAATGCTTTAGATGTGGCCCCCGGAAAGCTCTGAAAAGCACCACTGAATTTCTCCAACATCCTCTGTCTTCCTCTTTTGTTGCTTACTCCACAATGTGCCACTGAATGGAGGAACCACTTCCTTGTTGAAAGCAAACAAGAAATCAGCCTCCGATCCCTGCCTGCTATGCACTGGGTAGGCAGCAAAAATAAAACAAAACTAATCCACTGAGCTTTTTCTTTGTGAGTGATTGGCCAAGAGGAAAGGGACCAGGTAGAAAGGAGAAATGGCATTTTCTGTTTGCTGCAACGCAGAATGGACAGCAAGAAACATTATTTTGGGGGGCCTGCAGTCTGATGAGAAAAACCTTGGAGTTTCTGGAGCCAACGCAGAAATCTCCCTGCCCAGCTTCTGAGCTGTGATTCAAGAATACCTTTATTTCTTGTGTCAACTGCAACAAAATAGTGTGGCACTAAAAATGTTATTACTATTTAGCAACAATATGCAAGCAGATGGGTAGCAACAGACAAGATTGAAAAACTTCCTGCTCAATTTAGCGGACTGCAAAAAACCTTTCGCAAATTTATGATCATTAAGGGAGGTTCCATCTAGGCGGCCCAGCAGCATCTCAGTTACTGAGTTTCCAAATCCTGTTTTCCATTCTGGTTTGCAAGTAGTTCACTGCGCAAGAAAGAGGCGGCCTCTTTGCTCAAAGTATATACAGTAAAATTTAATTTAAAGCATCCAAAAGTTACTTATTTATCATATTCATATATTATTTATTTATTTATCATATTTATAAATATGATAGTTGCCCATCTCACATTAAAGTGACTCTGGGTGGCGTACAGCACTTAATTAAAAACAATACATAAAAACAGTCACAATTAAAAAATAACTATAAAATACTGGGAAAGAGAAAAAAATAAATATTTTTAATCCATATATTATATTATTATATTCTTTTTTTTTAACCTGGTCCTGCCTTTTTTGTACAGTCCCCCAGTACATTTCTTAAAATGAAAAAATATTGTATAGACCTGTCCTAATATGAGATACAGATGCAAATGTAACATTCCCTCTTAATGAATCAGAGTTTCTTAAAACAGGAATGAACACATAGTATGTTCCCTCCTTTGATAAATTGATTCCAGTTATTCTGAACCACAGTTGACCATAAAATCTGAAACAAAAAACTCCGTTTACCAGCCAGGATCTTAAAGTATCATTTAACTATTATTTAATGATCCAAGATAAAAAGCCAATTTTAAACCAAAGTTCATTGTTTTGGACACAGCAAGGAACTGATGTTTTTAAAGCAGTTTTTAGGTATAAAGTACTAAAGATGATTTTCTAACAACACAATCTTAGCATGCCAGATATATTACACCTCAACCAGCCCTCTGAAGAAAACAGCAGCCCAGAAGCAACTGAAAGGTAGGACAAAGATAGATTGCATATTAATTGCTTTGTATTTTTACAACTAGGGGAGTAACCATTTTCTTTTTTCCTGAAAATTGGATATAATCTGTTATCAAAACCACCTAATTCTGACTGAGACATAGCTGCCATCTTGAGACTGATTTGCAACAGCAAGTTCTCATATCTTAAATATCTGGCTGATGTTTTTGTGAAGCAGGGGATGTTTCTTGATGAAGAGATCTGAGGAACTTAAAAACTTAAAAACCTGAAGCAGGTAATGATTATGTTTCTCTGTCTTCAGGAAGGGGCAAAAACAAACAAACAAACCCAACCAACATGACGCCCCTTTGTGTCATGTTGGTTAGTTTTAATAAAGGTATTACCCAGCTCTGTATTTTCAAGCTTCTCCCACAAAGGAGCAGCACACCTATGATTGCTTTTTGTGAAAGATTATATGCGTGCATTTATTTGGGAAACAGAAGAGGCGATGCTGTAATGAATGATACTGTGTGCTACTGTTATTCAAATAGGAGGCCAAAAAATGTAGCAGAAATTTCAACATCAATTTTTTTTAAGTCAAAGGCTTCAGAGACCCTGAAATTTTTGTCAGCATTTTACTTCTACCCTTGCCCTGCAGCGATATACTTAACTGAGTCAACAAGATCTACTTCATGCACTTACCTGCCACTTTTGTTCGGATTTGCATGTTTTCTTGCAGAGCTGCCAGTGGTTCCAAGTACTCGGGCGCCTTTCCCGCAATGACCTCCTGTAGTTTTGCATCCACTTGGCTTAATCTCTCTTTGTAAAGTCTTAATATAAGGAAGATGGAGTACATTATATTAAAGAAAGGAGAACAATGTATATTAATATTTCTAAGATCTGTCTTCTTGAATGGCAATGGGCATTCCTGTTAAGCCCATTAGCTCAGAAGAAATTAGTAAGATTCAAAAACAGACCTAAAAATACATTAAATTACAGCCAACGTTTTTATTTAGACATTGTTTGGGCTGGATCTGAAAGTGTTCCTTCTATTCACTGAACCTACTGGCAGAAAAGGGAAGCGGGTAGTGGTTATGTTTCTCTGTCTTCTGGAAGGGACCAAAAAAAAAAAAATTAAGTTAATTAGCTACAAGGAGAAAAAATTTAAGACACCCCCCCCCTTCTCCTTCAGCCAAAAGGAGTGTCTCCTGAGACAAATTCCAATCCCTGGAACTCCCATTTCTAATGGGAAGCAAAGTCTTGCTCTAAATCAGTGTCTTCTCCATGCTTCCCAATACATCTTTGTAAAAACTCCATGTTTTCAGCATTGCTGCTTTCAGGAAAGCTAACAAAAATAAATATTCAGCAAATAATACCAAGCTGTAAATAAAATGCAATCAAATAGTCTGATGAGAAGATTAAGAATTTAGAGTGGCTTAAATGGGTCTAAAATACTTGTTATTTTATAAGCATTGCCATTATGTTCACATAGCTAATATAGAAATATTAAGCAACTTCAGACTCTACAGTGAAACATTTTGCAAATGCAGGTTATGATCATTCTATTTACACATAGAACAGGAGTGGACTGCTCTTTATATGAACAAGAACATGAAAATCTTACTTTGCTCAGCACATTGGACAACTGCAATTTTCTCACTGCCCAGTCTCTTTCCAAATGAGAGCAAGCTACTTTAAGAAGCAGAGTACAACAGATAAGGTGAGAAGAGGCCATCTTCTCTCCCCACTCTCATAAACATTCCATACAAACAACAAAAGTCTCACTTCTTAATATATGAACAAAAAGCACCCATACAGGACTGTCTTATCAAACTGTCATCCTTTAGAAACCCCCTTGATGTCCAAGCAAATGCCCACTTGAATGTCTCTGGTAAGCTTAGGGAGACAGAGATAAATTAGCAAGTTTCAGTTTCTGAAGTTTCCATGGAATATTACTTCCACCACTTCTACTGTAGAAGGTAAGAAAGCTCTCAGTATGTTTTGGAATTTAATTAACTTACACAAGCTTTAAAGCATGTGCACGCATAAATATTTACACAAAACTCAGAATTCTAAAACCATTTTCACAGATCTTCAGATTGGGATGGACACTTGAATTTGGGAAGTATTCAATGGTAAAGTACTCGCTAGGCACACAAAAGATTGCATTTCCATACCTTGTACTGATAAGTAAGCCTGAGAAAGGCTCTTTTTTGAAATGCTGTAGAACAGCTGCTATTCTATGTAAACCAGTGTCTATAGTCTGATTACCCAGGGCTACATGCAACTCCATGAACCTTGAAGATAGCCTCTGATCTATAAAAGCTAAATTGGAGATAGACAGACAGACAGAGATATAGAGGGTTTTTTTGTTTTCTCCAATGTTTTCTTTGCTTCAGAGACCTAAGGAAAAAGGGGTTCTTTTTTAATTGTAGCAATTCATAAACAACTGACAGTTTAAAAACTGTTGTTGATCTGCTGTAAATCATTCAGAGATATACCAATAAATCCTGATCAATCTTCTGCCCACTCCTGATTTAGATGGACAAGTTAAAGTACATACTCAAGACTATAGCTGAATTAGAATTCAGGAGAAGTTCTAAATTATTGGTTTACTTACTGATCTTTGAGATCTGTAAACTGTTTTTCAAGATCAGACATCTCATCTAAACACTCCATTCTTCTTCTTTCACAATCCTCATCATCCATTTCTGCAATGAAAATTATCCACTTTTACAAACATAACTAGTTTGTTTCTTCCAAACTACTTTACTCTATGACGAAGCTGACCTTTTCATTAAGAGTGGTTCAAGTTCTAAATTAAGCTTAAAGAAATTAATATTTGAAATACTTTCTAAATCTGCTGGAAAACAGATACATTATATAAAATTATTTCTATATATTTCTATTCTTTGATACGAACTATATCGCTTAAGTATGCATTTCATCTTACAACCAGCTATAATCTTTGAAATACTGACCACCAAGGAACCATAACTTTTGAATCAATTAGAAGGAATGTAATGTTAGTAACATTTTTCTGTACCACAACAGCAACAGAAAAATTGAAGGTTTTTTGCCAGTTTAAACAATGGTAAATTCTTAGGCTTTCATAATTTCATAACATGGCTAGTTCTGTAAAACAGATTCTGTACAATTACAGCAACATTTTAATATGCTCTATAGACTGCATGAACAAATCTATACCATTGCCTTAACTGATAAAGCAACATCAAACTTTTGCTACTGTAGGCCTATAGCAAGTTGATTTTTTTTTTTTAATCTGTTCAGTCATGTCTGATTCTTGGAGACTACCTGGACAAGTCCCTGAAGTTTTCTTGGCAAGGTTTTTCAGAAGTGGTTTGCCACTGCCTCCTTCCTATGGCTGAGAGAAAATGACTGGCCCTAGGTCACCCAGCTCACTTTGTGCCTAAGCCGGGACTAGAACTCATGGTCTCCCAGTTTCTAGCCTGATGCCATAACCGCTACACCAAACTGGCTCTCTAGCAAGGTGAATACCAACCACAAAACACCGCTTACAAATGAAGATGCACAGAAATATTCATTCATGTATTAGGCCCCTATCATTCTGTGTTAACATGTTATTCCTGAAGAACAGGGCAAACAGTTTAGGAAATATTTTTAATTGTTGCCATTCTTCCCTCCCCATCAATAATTCATCATCCCTTTCAGCTAAAGAAAGCCATAGGTAACATTTTCTACAGAACATCACTTCTTAATTCAGGCACCAAGGACCTAAACATGTATATGACTTCAGCTTCTATCAATACGGTAATGCCTGCAATGCAAACTCAATTCAATGTATAGTACACCAAGTTTGCATATCAGGAAATCAAGTTCATAATTGAAGCAGCACTTTCTAGCCATTCAAGATGTTTAGCATACATTTCCCAATTCATATTTATAACCTAAGATGCTGTTTTTCCCATATCACAAGTGGAAGATTGAGAATGATAAACGATGCCCTTGGGCAGCCCACTTAAAGAGTTCATTGTTTAGCCAAGATTTGAAATAGAAACCACCTCCTATTGATTTACATGTCACTCAAATACAAGTATCCCAGCTCTCAAAATAGTTTTACAGGAAAATTTACAATAGTTGTTTTACACCATCAATTAAAGCATTAATTGTGGTAACAGCAAAGAACCATCCCCTACAAATTTACACACTCCCTTTTTCCTTCCTTCAGTTGTAATAAAGCAATCAGAAGTTCATCTGAATCCTAAACTGTAATTTATATTGAAACAAGCCAGAAAGACTAAAATGTGCTTGTTACATACACACTATTATATAATTATTCTGTTAAATTAGTATTGTGCTTTTTTCTCAAGAGTTCAAGGTGGCCCACATAGTGCTCCTTGTCCAACCATCATCTCTGTGAGATGTAACATTCCCTCTTATTGAATCAGAGATGGGTGGACATACCTGTGTTTTTCAAACCCGCTAACACACCAAGACAGAGGCTTGTACACGCCAAAGATCGAACACCAAAACATAAGAGCAATGTAGTATATGCAATCCAGTGCAGTGAGGAGCGTTCAGCACTCTGCATTGGAGAAACCAAACAGCTTTTACACAAGAGGATGCCCCAGCACAGGAGGAGTAACAACACAGGACTAGAATCAGCAGTTTACTTTCATCTAAAGGAAAAAGGACACTCATTTGGGGACAATAATGTTCAAATTTTGGACAGAGAAGATAGGTGGTTTGAGAGAGGAGTGAAGGAATCTTTACACAAGAGGATGCCCCAGCACAGGAGGAGTAACAACACAGGACTAGAATCAGCAGTTTACTTTCATCTAAAGGAAAAAGGACACTCATTTGGGGACAATAATGTTCAAATTTTGGACAGAGAAGATAGGTGGTTTGAGAGAGGAGTGAAGGAATCCATTTATGCCAAAGTGGAAAATCCTTCCCTCAACAGAGGTAGAGGCCTCAAACACAACTTGTCTCCCATTTTCCATCCTTTCATCAGTCCCCAGGAAGATTAAGAACAGTTCAAAAGTTCACCAGGAAAGCAACATTTAACATCCCCTTGGGGATGAGTGAGGGATTAGGAGTAAGACATCTACATCTCAAAGACTC